TTATATTCAATGAAGTCCATTATGTACAGGTCAGCGGCACTTCGATGGGGACTAAGATTGGGCCAAATTATGCCAACATTTTTATGGGGAAGCTTGAAGAGGAGTTTTTACGCAGTCGCCTATTAAAACCGCTATGCTATAAAAGATTCATTGACGATATTTTCTTTATTTGGCCTCATGGTGAATCGCACCTTCTCTCATTCATATCAGATTTCAATAACGTTCACCCATCCATCTCTTTTACGCACGTCTACTCGACTGAAACCATAAACTTCTTAGACGTATCTATTAGCCTAATAAACGGCAACCTAACCACCAAGCTTTATCAAAAGCCTACTGACCGACAACAATACCTACATTTCAACAGCAGTCACGCTAAACATTGTAAATCCAGCATACCATATAGCCAAGCTGTTCGTTTTAAACGCCTTTGCTCCGAGCAAGCAGACTTCATCGCTAGTTGTGATAAACTGCGTGCTTCTCTTCTAAAGCAGAAATACCCGGCACCGATGATTGATGACGCAGTGGCACGTGCTGATATGCTTGACCGAAAAACACTGATCAATGCAGAGAAACATTCCCATAGCCTCAATAATGCTAACCTAGTACTCACGCATAGCGCTTCCGCACCCAATGTAGCAGCCATTCTTAGGAAACATCACAACATATTGACGCAAAGCGATCACCTAAAAGAAGTTTTTTCAGAGCCACCCCGCGCCGTGTTTCGTCGCTGTAGGAACTTGCAGGACATCCTCACGTCCTCCAAAGTACGGACTAACAATTACATTTCACACGTTGGTTGCCATCCATGCCGCAAACCTCGATGCAAGTTATGCAAACAGATGACAACCACCGCTGTGGCTAAAAGCTCCGCAAACAATTTCACTTTAAAAATTCGTGGCGATTTCACCTGTGACACAGATAATGCGGTTTACCTGCTTGAGTGCTCCTTTTGTCACTTGCAGTATATCGGTCATACTGAAAATTCATTTCGCTACCGTTTCAACAATCACAAGGCCCATGTGCACTCCATGCCTCATCTGCCGATTTCAAGGCACGTCGCCACTACCGGTCATAGTTTTGAATCATTTAGGGCAACTGTATTGGAGGCGGGATTCACGTCGCATTATAAGCGTGAGATACGCGAATCATTTCTAATTCATAAGTTCGGAACGGCTTCTAGGGGTTTAAACGAAAACGCGGGCAAACTGGCTAGCATAATTGCGTAGAATACAGTGCGTGCTCGGCCTCATGCGGCGACAGACTTATCTCGTTCGTGTGTGTGTGAATGGATGTTTAATCCTTCGTAAAAGTGCATTATGTATCGTTATTATTATTATTTTGTAGAGTCAATCTTGTGCTATGTACGCTCGGCGCATTGCCTATATTTCTTATATGTTCTGTGCTCGTGGTATCTCACTGGCCAGTGACGCGATTATTATTATTTTTTACGCGATATCTTTGTTTTTGTGATTGTGAGTCACAGTGCGGTGTTGTGTCCACCATGCGCATGTACCTTGCTTTCATTGCGCATAGCATCTGGCAGTGGTGCACTGTTCCTGTGTATACATCCGCCTACCTATATATTAAGTGCCTGTAACATACTGCAATCATTCTGACGAAGGCTGGTCCACCAGCCGAAACGTTAATAAATCCACATTTCGTACGTGCGTCCTTCTCTTCAATCAATTATATATATATATATATATATATATATATATTTAAATATATGTTTGTATATATATCTATATATATATATGCGGGCATTTGGTTTCGTTTTCAGGGTTGACTGTAATTCTTCCTCTTTTCTACTTTCTTTCTTTCTTTAGTTCTCTCTCACTGTCGCAAACATCTTTCAAGGCGAGAGGGACGCAACAGCAACGAACTTTGGAAGTTCATGTTAATATAACTCATCCCCCAATGAAGGGAGGACCCCTGCCGAAACTGTTGAGAAATAAATATATTTATCCTTGTTGACAACGCTCCCGTTGTGCCATATCCCATACCTTCACGAAGACTAACTGGCCCATTGAATTATTACTTCCACTATATATATTTATATATATATATATATATATATATATATATATATATATATATAGCCATCCGCAACATTTAGCTCGCTTGGCCGTTTCGACGACGGTATCAATACCAAACTTGGTATGACATAACATGACTCTATGAAAAACATATTCGACTAGTCATAACATGAAAATGATGACATGTATGTCATGAAAGTTGGGATTTACATTTGAAGGCCCTGCAGATCTTGCGGTGGTTTCGTTCACATGGCATGTTGCAAAACTGGCATGGTATGACATGATTGCATGGCGAACACAATCGACAGACCCTAACATGAAAATTATGACATGCGTGCCATGTAGGAACATGACCACATGCCAAGCTCATGATGCGCTCACGGCCGTTTAGCTAGTGTCACATATACCAATTTTGGTATTACAGTACGTGAATTAATGACGAAGGTATGTGACTGTTGCAAGCATGATAATCAGGAGATGCGTGTCATGTAACAACATGACTACATGCTACGCTCATGAAGTGCACGCGACCGTTTCGCTAGCTTCAAATGCACAAACTCGGTATTACGCGACGCGAACAAACGACATAGGTAAACGACACAGCAAACATGATAATTATAACATGCGTAATATGTAAGAACATGAGTACACGCCACACTGATGATGCGCTTGCGGCTATTTTGCTAGCTTCACATATGCCAAGTTTGGTACCAGGGGACGCCAATGCATGACGAAGGTATTTGGCTGGTACAAACACTATAATAATGAGATTCGTGTCATGTGAGAACATGACTACATGCCACAGTCAAGGCGACAATACATTTCAACTTGACGCGGTGTGCGTGCTCGCCGGCGTTCGCTTCGTCGCGTCACGCCGGCGTTGTCAGGCGGGACGCTTTAGACTCGCAGGCGTGCGCTACGTTGATTTGATACATGCGCGTTTCTGCGCATCCGGCGTCCCTCCGGCACGAAAAGAAAGAGACGCAGGGCTGTCTTGGTAACGCATTGGCGTGAAATGCAGCATGTCACATTTCGCGCTGGTTGCCGTCGGGCCACGCCGATGGACGCTGGTCGTGCCTGGCGTATGACTATATATTGCTCGCGTTTTCCTAACGTAGCGTCGCTATGCGCAGCGTGCGCACGTGTAACGCTACATTGCAGTATAATGGGCCCTTCATGATACGGTCGCAGCCGTTTTGATAGTTCCACATATACCAAATTTGGCGTTACGTGACCTCAATCGATGACAAGATATATATGACTGGTGCAAACGTGATAATTCTGACACGCGTTTCATCTAAGAATATGACAACATACCACGCTTATAGCGTGCTTGTGGGCGTTTCACGAGCTCCACATGCACTAAATTTGGTATCAAGTAAGGTGAATATATTGCGAAGGCAAATGACACATCCAAACATGATAATCAAGACAAGAAAGTCATGTATGGTATCATTTACATCCACCTGTTAATGTTGTGCTGATTTTAAAGTGACATATCAACATTTCTAATTCGTGCTTTGCATATCATCGATTCCCAATATACGTGGGATCTGCCAATTTTTTTTGCGCGAGTGATGGCGTGCTAGTGCAGGAGGACACAGCCGGGCGCGCTTTACGTTGGCTCAGCCTTTACTGAATGTTTTCCGCAGATTTATCAAGTCACATACCTGGCAATTGACCACCACCAAATAGAGCGGGTCTATTCGAACGCTTCGACACAAAAAACCTTGGTGAGAGACCTTTTTTGAAGCTTTTTAATGTGAAAAACCACCCGAGTAACAAGTGTGCCCAGCTAAGCCTACACCGACAAGGCCGATGCCGGCCTCAGGAAGGGTGATCAACGGTGCCGAGTTGTAAGCCAAGGGATAGGACGCACCTCCGAAATGGATGTAGATGAGGTAGAAGTGGGGGAAACTCCACGTAATGATTCCGGAGAGGACAATAGCGATCCGACGAGACGAGACGCTGACGGCTACGCGGAGGGCTGGATAGAAGTCACGTACAAATGGAAGAGCCGTGTAGTCCCCGGCGAAAAGACAGCACAGAAAAGCACCTGCTCAAGAAGCCCGACGCGCAGAGGTGGGAAGAGCATCGTGAACAAGATTTTACAAGCAAGCAAGATGCTAAAGCTACCTGCAGATGACATCAAAATAATCGTCAGACCAAGAGATGGGCTGAGCATTAGACACACGTGCAGAGCCAGCCTCGACGAAGCGATACGCCAAGAAGCAGGGGTGATCAACGACAAAATCTTCACGATCTGCCCCAACCCCACACAATATATTCTAGTATCAACACACCGGAGGAGAAGACGGCGACGAAATTCGACAAAATGAAAGATTGAAATATCAACAGGAAGAAGTACGAGACCAACGCGTACGTTTCGGCACTGGAACACATGGCCAAGGAGATAATGCGCAACAATCCCTTGAAGTACAGACAAGATCAGCTTATGCATGCACTGGTGAACGTGAGGAACCCTTCATTGGAGTACGCCAAGAGACTAGGGAGCACGACCATCGTGATAATACCGTACGAAAGACAGGGTCCCCATTTTGCTTACCTCAACAGCATTGTCATGAAAGTTTCCCTCTACCGGAAGCAAATAGACTTTTGTAAACAGTGCGGGAGGCTCGGGCACAGGACCGATGTGTGCTCAAGACCGACAGACAAGTTGTGCCTGGCGTGTTGTGCCAAAAATGTTACCAGAGAGCATGATTGCACACCCGAGTGCGAGCTCTGCGAAGACGCACACCCCACAGCAGACCGGACTTGCAGAGCTAAATTTAAGCCGCCATACTTTGTAAAGCAACGAAGGGGGGCTGCGAAGAGAAACGAGGAAGAACTCCAGCGGAAAGCCGGCTCACCAGACCAGGACACCTGGGGAAGCAGCAACACACAACTAGCCCGTGAACCCACATCAAGGTCCACATCCAGATCTAAGTCCAGGCTAGGAGCATGGGGACTACGTCGCTTCGGTTCAAGGTCCAGAAGCAGACCCAGGACCAGGAACGGGCCGAGATCCACCTCGAGGGGAAGGACGCCCGAAGCGACAACGAAGCAGCAAGAAGAACAGAAGACGCCAGACAAGGTGGGCTGGGCAGATGTAGTGGCCAATCGCGATTCGGCAAGGTGCGGCAATAATAGTAACGGTAGGGAAAATTACAGAGACATAGAGAAACGCGTAGAGGAATACAGGACCGAAAACAAGCTACTTACACAGGAGCTAGAAAAAGCAAAAAAGCAAAACAGTGAATCAGCTAAAATATTGATGAACTGCAGCAAACACCTAATGAAATACTCATGAAAATGCAGATACAGATGTCGCCTCCGGCGACCGTCATGGTGGCCGTCTCCATGCCAGCGACCAAAACCACAGGGGCGAAAAATTCCGCTTATGAAGAACAAAGAGCAAAACGACTTAGAAAAAGAGGTCAAGAGCCCCCGTCCTAGTACTAAAAAAAACAGGCGTCCTCAAGGACATGATAAACAAACGGTCGGACAAAATGAAGAAAATGTTTGAGATGCTGGTCGTGCGACTTAGCGACAGCGAGGCGGAGAGTGAGGCGCTGGCACTAAAACACGACAAGCGGCTCGAAGAGCAAGAGAAGAAAATTTCTTAGACATGGCGGGCACCATCTTGAGAAAATTCGTCATCTGGAAGTGGAACTGCCATGGCTTCTCTAAGAAAAAGCATCGATGGCACAACTAATCAAAATCACCAAAAAAAGAGAAAAGTCTAACTTGGTCATTTTGCAGGAGACATTCCACCACGCCAAAATTGCCGGGTATGCCACCCACAAACAACGCACACAAGGAAAGGGGAGAGACATAGTCGTGACCACATTAGCGAAGAAGGGGCTAGTTGCTATCCCACACATTACTAAACAAGTCACGGATATCAACCACATTCTTACAGAAGTCGTGCCACGCAGCAAAAAGGAGAGCAGCACTTTTGTCCTAAACGTATCCAGCAGCCCATCTAAATAGAGCCCAAAGCCTAATTTTGAAGAACTACGTAAGGAAGCGATGAACATCGCAGGTGACAACCGACTTGTCATCGGAGGAAGTTTGAACGCTCCACCCACGCAGTGGAGATATGGGCACTCATCGAAGAAAGGAAAAAATACTTGCCCACCTCATCGAAAAGACCGGACTAGCCATTCTGAATGAGCCTGCCTCTCACACCAGAATCGGTGTAGGTCTTCACAGGGACACCACGCCTGACTTGACCCTCTGCAAGAACGCTGGGCGAATCACTTGGGAAAACACCTTTGAAGACCTGGGAAGTAATCACAGGATGTTCAGCATTGCCCTAGGCAATCTCCCTTCCAGGAATTGCAAACGGACAATCAGGCGCGTAGAATGGGACCAATTCCGCAAAAGCACAAAAGAGAAAGAACAGGGACCCATCGGAAACGTAGAAGAATGCAGCAGTGCACTTCTACGAGACGTAGAAAAAGCCACAACCAAAATGGAATGTGATGACTGGTTGGCTCGACGAGAAGGGGAAGATGAGTGTGGTGGAACCCTCTCAATGCGGATGGACAGTAGGCTCGCACACCTTGTCGAAGCCAAAAAATCTATACAGCAACGGCTGCACAGGCAAAAACACAATCGAAATCTAAGGAGAAAACTCGCCGAGCTAAACAAGCACATCGAAACACACTGTACCCATCTATGCCATCAGGAGTGGGGCGAAGAGTGCGACGCCATGAACAGTAACATAAACACAGGCAAGACATGGAAAATCCTCAAGTACCTGCTGGACCCGTCGGCCACCAAAACGGCGGTGAAAGCGGAAATCACCAAGATAAGACACAGAAATAAAGGGAACATTCATCAGATGGGTGATGAAATCTTCAAGCTCTACCTCGGCAGACCCCCGGCAGTCGAACACCAGGAATACTCGGGCTCTCCTAACGAATATCTTGACAGAGACTTGTCACAGCAAGAAATCAGGGCAGCCCTGCAGACGATCAAGACCAAGTCAGCTCCAGGTCCCGAAAAAGTGTCCAACAAGATGCTCCGGAACCTGGACGAGCAGGGAACGAGCCGTTTGACAAACTTCGTCAATGAGTGCTGGAGAAACGGGGAGATACCCGACGAATGGAAGATAACCGAGGTGATCCTCATTACTAAGCCGGGTAAACCCCTAGAAATTCAGAACATGCGGCCCATCTCCCTCACTTCTTGCGTCGGTAAAGTAATGGAGCATGCTTGCCTGAACAGGGTTAACGGCTACCTTGAGTCTAACAACGTATTGAGCAACATAATCGGCTTCAGAAGAGGGCTCTCCACACAAGATGCCATGATACAACTAAAGCAGCAAGTCATGGACCCCATTGGACGAGGCATGAGGGCAATAATTCGGCTAGATCTAAGGAGAGCCTTCGACATGGTAGAGCACGCAGCCATTCTAAAAAAATTGCACAACTCGGTCTAGGCAAGCGCACAAACAAGTACATCAGAAATTTTCTTACAGAAGAACTGCCATGGTTAGACTGGACAAGGAGGAGAGCATCCAAGTGGGAATGGGCAGCGCTGGCACACCGCAAGGGTCCGTCGTGTCCCCGATGCTGTTTAAGCCCGTCATGATTGGATTATCGGAAACATTAGAGTGATTCGAAGGCATCAATCACACAATTTATGCAGACGACAATACAATTTGGACCACGCAAGACACTACTAAAGGCGAGATGGAGAATAGACTTCAAGAGGCGGTGGATGCAGTAGAAAGTCATCTGGATGGCACCGGAGTGGAATGCTCACCGGGCAAATCAGAACTGCTACTATACCACCCCAAAAGACTAGGCATACATTGAAGAAACCTAGCAAAATTATACAAAAGAGTCAAGATAACCACTAGAAATGGCACGGCGATACCCTTGGTTCCGAAGATCAGAGTCCTGGGTCTTTAGATCGAAGCCAGGGGAACCAATGGGGAAACTGTAAGGCTTGGAAAAGAAAGTCATGGCAGCCGTTAGGCTAATACAAAGAGTATCCAATAAACAAAGGGGAATTAAAGAAAGAAACGTTGTACGACTGATCCAGGCCTTCGCGATCAGCTGAGTCGCGTATGTAGCGGTCTTCGTTCACTGGAACAAAGCCGACAAAAACAAAGTCGACTCGCTGATTAGCAAATCGTACAGAGATGCGCCGGGTCTACCACAATACACAAAGAACGAAAGGCTGCTACAACTCGCAGTACATAACACGCTGGACGAGAACGCTGAAGCACAAAGGATAGCGCAACTCGAACGATTGTCTGGAACCATGGCGGGCAGAGAAATTATGGAAAAGATCTTCAATAATTACCACGGAATGAAAGGTGCCGAGACGCAGATTCACCCGGACGTCCGGTCCCCGATAATTACGGAAAATCTCCCAAAAATATGCACCCTGCACACAACGTTGAGAGACATAAATGCCGCACGAAAATGATCCTTAAAAACCACGGCACGCTGGAGGGTGTGCCTTTTGTAGACGGCGCCCGGTTTTTCCGACATCAGTAATAGGGTTGTGCATGCCTCCTTCTTCGCAATGGCGGTGATAGACACAAAAGGGAAGACCTTGACCGCGGGTTGTAAGGACCAGATCATCGGAGGCAGCGGAAGAAATGGCCATTGCACTGGCCGTAGTCAATAGTCAAAAACATGACAGATTAATGATCAGTGACTCCAAGATGGCCATTAGGAATTTCACAAAGGAAAGGGTCCCCACCGAAGCAGCCAAAATCCTGAACCACGGAGCCGAAGAATTCCGGAACGGCAAAATTGTACCCAAATACCTCAAGTGTATCCCGGCGCACATGGGGGAATTAAACATCGAAGACACGACCATCCCAAAAACCTCAACGAGAAGGCCCACCAAACCGAGCGAGAGCTAACACACCACGGCTCGGACAGCAACGACCCGACCCCCCGCACCAACCACAGAAGGAGGGACGACTCCGGTGGAGGCGATGGGGACGATGGAGGTGATTATGAAAATGAATATGCGATACAAGAGGACAGAGACAGACTGGTCATGTATGATGACATACTAAGACATTGTAGGCGACAACGAGAAGAATATAAGCCACCACGCAAACAGCTAGACAGATCTCCCGAAACAGATTGGCGAAGATTGCAAAACAGAACCTTTTCAAATCCAGTACACCTGAACAGAGTAAATTCCAGACAATACCCACAAACAAGCTGTACCCTCTGTAAGCACGAACATGCAGATATGGCACATATTCTGTGGCAATGCACACAGGTAACATTAATATAATGAGAGGACAATATAAAAGCGGACCTTCTTGAGGAGCGTTGGCTAACTGCGCTGACCATAGTCAGCGCAGTTAGCCAACGCGCTAACTGCTTGTTGGCTAACTTGAGTCAGCCACGTAGCGCGAGTCAGCGCTCAGGTCGTGAAGATCTGAGCGCTGACTAGCTCAGATCTGCACGACCAACTGTGGGCAATCCAGCAGGCCTGGACAGCGGTGGAAAGGCTACGCCTCACCGCACAAAACGTAGGGGTGGCCTGAGCCGGGGCCGGTAACCCTGCACGGTTTCTTTTTTTAATAAAGTTTTTCCGTCCATCCGTCCGCTAGTGCAGTGGCTGTGTCAGAGTGTACTGATTTGCATCTGTGAACCGATAGCAGGAACTACATTGCCGATTGCTAAAAACACAATAGCATAAACGCCCCACCGCGGTGGTCTAGTGGCTTAGGTTCTCGGTTGCTCAACCGAATCCCGGCTGCGGCTGTTGAATTTTTGATGAAGTCGAAAGTTCTGTAGGCCCGTGTGCTTATATTTGGGTGAACGGTAAAGAACCCCAGGTGGTCAAACTTTCCAGAGCCCTCCACTACAGCGCCTCTCATAATCATATGGTGGTTTCAGGACGGTAAACCCCACATATTAGTCAATGGAATCGCATGCACACAAAAGTGTCTCAATGTTACTTTATGAACGTGCACCAAATGACAAGCCTTTGGTTTTACGTCTGAGTCATTGAAGTGCCGAGTACGCCCGGCGACTTTCGGCGGCTGCCCTTGAGCGCTACGCCACAAGCTGAAAGCGCATCCCATCGCTGCTCATCGATGTCTGTGTGGACAACATATGCAAAAAAATGGTTTGTTCAAATTACCTGATGGCAAGGCTCAATTGTATATTGATTATTACTCCTCAGAATTGCATAATATTGCCACAAAATATGCTTGGGTGAGATCCAGGAGTGAAAAGAAGACAAAGACGATCTATCTGAGCTGCTGCTTGGCTATTCGACTCAACGAACCCATTACACCAACTTTGTCTTAAGAAACGTGACAAGACTGGTGGAGGTGCTTGGTACAACGTCTCACGGTCCACCCGATGCCCAAGACCCCTCCCAGCAGCCGGAACACAAGCCCTGCACCCGTGTACACTCCTGTTCACAGAGTAAGATGCCACCAACGACGCCTACCACCTGAGACACCAACCACTGACGCAGTGACTATGACTTCGACACAAGATCCCGTGCAAGCTCCGACAGCTTCCACGCCAATCTACTGCACCGTCCAGAACCCACTCATGCCTAGCCCCTTTCACGGAGAGCAGCATGAAGATGTTAACGACTGCCTGAGTGAGTTTGAACGTATCGCCGCGATAAATTACTGGGATGATGCCGCGAAGCTCCCGGAACGTGTACACTTGCCTAAAGGACGGTGACAAGACGTCGTTCTTGAACAGGGATGATGTTCTGACATCTTGGCGCGAGTTCGCGCATCGCCTTCCGGAGACCTACAGGACTCCCGACCACCGCGAACGGGCTGAGCGTGCACTGCAATCACGCGTCAAGATGCCAAATGAGACCGTCTCGATGTACGTCGAGGACATGACACGGCTTTTCAAGTGAGCGGATCCTGCTATGGCAGAAGAAAAAAAGTTGCGCCACCTCATTCGTGGTGTGAAGGAACAACGTTTTGCTGGTTTGGTGCGTAGTCCCCCCAAGAGTGGGCTGAGTTCCTTACTGAAGCGGCAACAATGAAGCAAGTACTGCACCAAAGGTCTGCCCTGTTTGACCGTCAAGTGAATGATGCCTCATCTCCCGAAATTTTCGCCACGCCTGGGAGCAAGAGCCCCAAATGGATTCGCGAGATCATCCGATCTGTCGTCCGGGAAGAAATGGAAAAGATGTACGGGACAAGGCAAATCGATGTTGGTTCTATCACCAGTGTCATCCGTGACGAGGTCCAGGAGGTGCTGCACGCCCATCGTTTTCCGCCGATGTCGGTTGATCCGGAAACGGCTTCTGTGTCTACTGACAGTCGCCGTCGTACGTACGCGGAAGCCTTGCGATCTGCCACGCCTCTTTCTGGTCAAGGAGTCCCGACCCAGACAGTGCCACACGTCCCGATCCAGACAGTGCCGCACGTCCCGACCCAGACAATGTCATACGTCCCGATCCAGACAATGTCATACGTCCCGATCCAGACAATGATGCCGTCAGTCGCGATTCAGTCAGCGCACGCTGGTTTGGACATCGGTGGTCGCGGTGAACCGACGCGCAAGTCTTATTTCTGGCGTACACCGGACAGACGACCCCTCTGCTATCATTGCGGTGAGGCTGGTCACATTTACCGCGAAAGCCCATACCGGCAACTTGGCCTGCGTGGATTTTCCGTCAATTCACCTCGTCCTCAAATCGGTCAAAGGGCGAGGAATATCGAAGAGTATCTCGCGCAACAGCGTGCACCATTTACAACCACCATAGCCTATGGAGACCCTGTTGCCGACGTCACGGAGTGCTTCGCGTCCGAGGAAACGCATGAGGATAAGGAATTTCTAGACCACATCGACTATAATTCGACGCTGTCAGACGTGAGAAAGGGTGCACTTCATGACCTTTTAAGGGAGTTTCGGTCTTGCTTTGCCTCTTCTTCTAAAGTCCGTCAAACACACCTCACCAAGCATCGAATTATCACTGACGATGACGTCCGCCCCTTCGCGACTGTACACGACGGCAATCACGGTCACCATCTCCGAGGAAACCCGCAGCCACTAGGTCACGTTTCGAGGTGACGGCACAGGAACGCTCTCCGAGCCCTCATCGGGAAAACTGAAGGCAGCGGCCTTCGCGGGAAGGTCGCTGAGAATCAAAGTGCGGAAGACGTCCCATCGACGCTTGCACGCAACGCGGAAGACATTTCATCAGAGAATAATCGCAGTACCGAAGAAACGCCTAAATCCACATCTGAACTCAGTGACCGCGTGTCACTTGACATACTTGTGCTGATTGACGGTTTTCAGGTCAATTCATTGGTAGACACTGGTGCAGACTATTCGATTATCAGCGGAAGACTAGCAAAAGATCTCAGAAACGTGATTACGCCGTGGAATGGAACGCGAATTAGAACTGCTGGAGGACACGTTGTAACACCCCTCGGCAAGAGTGAAAATTCGTGCGTGAACGTTTGTGCTC